CTCTGAGTCATCATTTCAAGCTGTTTACAGCATTTTAATTTTACTGTAACCATTTGGCCCACTTCCCAAGTTCATACTATTCCATTTGGTTTGTGATAGAAACAACTTTGACAGTGTTGATAATGAGACTGTGACAGAACATGCTGAGAAAAGTAACTTATTAAAGAACATAAGATAGCCCTAGCCGGTTTTGCTCAGTGGATAGAGCATCACCCTACAGATCAAAGGGTCCCGGGTTCAATTTCAGTCAAGGGCATGTACCTTGGTTGCAGGCTTCACCCCGGCCTGGGCCCTGGTTGGGGAGTGCAGGAGGCAACCAATTGATGGGTTTCTCTCACATTGATGTTTTTCTCTGTCTTTCCCTCTCTCTTCCACTCTCTTTAAAAATCAATGGAAAAATATACTTGGGTGAGGTTTAAAAAAATTTTTTAAAAGGACATAAAATAGAGAAATCCAGAGAACTAGAGATGACATTGAAAGAAATGAGAGGGGAAATTAAAATTGAAACAAGATCAATGCAGAAACAAGCAAAGAATACCAAATGTGGAGAGTACATAGAAGAAAAAACAGTATGTATTTTGTGATTTATGACCTTTTTCAAAACAACAGGTGAGGACTTTAGAGAGGGTGAGTTGTAGGGCAGAGACACAAAACCTGGCTGGAAAGGTGGAGAACAAGGGATGGTGGCTGAGGTAGTAGTTGCCAGAATGAAATGCTCTGGATCAAGTCAAAGGGTGGGAGGTAAATGATTTCTTTATTTTTTCACTTCCAGTAAGTGTCTGTCTTTCTCTTCACCATTTCAAGCAAAGCTAGGTGGAGTGGGAGCAGGGTCCCAGGCCCTTCTGAGGAAACCACCTAACAAATGCCAGCCATGCTTCAGCTCTGAGCTTCTTCCTTATGGAAACCATGTGTTCATACTTATGGAAACTAGACTATAACAGAAAAAACTCTGGATTGCCTGCCCCATACAGAAGAATTAATTATCCAAGAAAAGTTACCATAAATAATTTCAGAAACTTGACACACGTAAAAGATGTCACCCAAGGAACAAGGAACACTAAACTTCCCTTCAAACAGATTCCAAAGGAAGAGAGTCATTAGCCTTCTACTCTGGATGGGAATAATCCCAGTACTTCTGGCTTCTTTCTCCCGCTCTTCACAATATCTTTTGTATTTTTTCTCCTCTTGATAAACTTCAGACCTGTCTCCATCAGACCTTCTACCACATGACCTTATCTCCTCCTTTTTAGAGTAAATTTAAAAAGTTTCTGCTTAGGCGGAAACTTCCTTGACTTCCTGCTATCAGGAGGACAAATCTTATATCTTTACCCATTTTTCTCTTTCCTGTTGTTACATTAAAAGAGGTGACCCTCTGCTTTATCTCAGATAAATCCCACCACCTGTGCATGGGTTCATCACCCTTGTCCTCTCAGGGGCCTTGTTAAAAGATTAAATTATCTTTCTTCTGTCCCTTAAATTTCCCTTTCCACGGATTATTTGCACTTACACATACTCAGGTGTGTCAACTCAGAAGTCTGTAACAGTTATGCACATGCTAACTCAACATTTCCCCTTGTATGTCTTAGACATCTCTAATTCAATGTGTTCAAGAGTGAACTCACCATTCGCCTCCCATGAACTTCCTACTCTTTCTCCCTTCCCTCAATTTAGCAATTTTGGTTGGGTTATGAAATGACTTCATAACCCAACCAAATGTCAAGCTAGAAATCTGGAAAGCATCCTTGATTTCCTCCTTTCTGATCATTCCACCATAGCAAACAAATCAACAAATCTTGTTGGGTCTATCTTCAAAATATATTCAATAACCAGCCATGCATCTCTATCTCCATTGCCACAGTCTGGTTTAGATAACCATCATCTCTTGCCTGAAAGGCTATAATTGACTACTAGTTGGTTTCCCATCATTAGTGTAGGTCTTTACTAATCTCTTCTTTATACTGCAGCTAGAGGGAATCTTTAAAAAATCCAAATATGATCATGCCACTCTCCTCACCTTTAAAACAATGATAAAGTCCAGACTCCTTAATATAGCTTACAATACTGTTCATGAGCTACTTGTATTGACTATTTAGTCTCATATCTCACTACATTAAATACTTCAGCCAATCAAAATGTCTTTCAACTTTTCTTAATTGGCATCTCCCCACCCATTCTTTGCCTTGCGTGAACTATGATTCCTAGACTAAATTAGTGCCCCAACCCTTCATAAGATACATTATTGTAATTACTTGCTTAATTCTTTGCTAGAGTATAAAGGCATGCATTGTGTCTGTCTTGCTCACCAATTTAGCTTTCTCCCTGTTCACCCCCAACTTCTTCTGCCAGCCACTATAGTGCCTTACTTAGTAATTGTTGTCTAATAGATTCACAGTAAGTATTTGTCAAATGATTTATCTTTCAGAGTTTTGTTATTTCTCTTACTGAACTCAATAATCTTGATTCTCCTATGGAGTCTCAGAAAATATAATCACAAAACTTTTTAAATCTCATGTCTGTGGTTAGAAAGGGAGATGAAGCTTGAATGTTGCCAGAACAACAAATGCTATGACACCTTAGTCATTAATCCTTAAGGCTTAAAGGTTTGTAATATTTACTACCCACTTTCACAAAGGATTTAGGCATTTAGAGAAACGCCTTGTCTCCATATGAAGGTTATATGAATGTTAACATATATATATATATGGCCATTTATGTATAAAAATATTTATGTATATCTGCCATTGGGGGGAAAAGAGTTTTCAAGGGTTTGGGGGAGTTGTTTGTTTTCTTGGAATAGAAATAATGCTTTAGACAAGATAATCTTTGGAAGTTCTAATATGGCCAACATCACTTCAAAACCGTTTGTTGAATGCTTATTAGATATAATATGTCACCTTATAAATTCTGCAAGCACAGAGCCAGGAGGAACCTTTGCTGTCATTTTGGCATGCTTCCTAGACACTGTCTGGGAATTTAGTCTACAGCATCTCTGACAATCATTACCTTACTTTGGCTGGAGAACTTTCAGGAATGGAATTCCATTGCTGATGAGCCCACCTGCCCCACTACTGGATGCTCTAGTGTCACGATATTTATTCTTCTATTTCCCTTTCCCTTCTCTAACCTACCATCTCTCTTCCTGTCACTTCGACACATAAATCCTCTACTGTAACTAAATCCTCAACTTAAAAGCCTTTAAATACTAGAAAGGAAGAGGTAGTGCAGGTGAGCACACAGTGTTTTGCAGGCCACATGGTAGGTACATTTTATGCTACCTCACTAACTCCTTAAGCAATCTAATACACTAAGCAGCGTTAATAACATTATACTCAGAGGTAATGAAAACTTCCACTATTTAGTTAACTTTATGTTGAAATCCAATTTTTTAGACCTCCAAACATTCTGAGTAAAGAGCCGGAGGTGCTAATTCACCCTGGCCAGCGTGCTCAGTTGGCCCACACACAAAATGGTCTCGGGTTCGATTCCCGTCAAAGGCATGTACCTCTGTTGCAAGTTCCATCACCAGCCCCAGATGGGGCACATGCAGGAGGCAACCAATCAATGCATCTCTCACATGCATGTTTCTCTCTCTATCCTCTCCCTACCTAATCCCCGCCATGCTCTCTAAAAAATCAATGGGAAAATATCCTCGGGTGAGGGTTAACAAAAAATAAATTTAAAAAAGAACCTGGGTGCTAATTTATATCTGTTAATAGATAGCTGCATGGAATTGGCTCCTCTTCACTATTTCTAAAATTGGGAGCACACTCTTTGTTGTCCTAGGCAACCTCACAAGGGATTTTTTGAAGAAAGAGTCTTCACCAGTCCTGTTAATGAAAGTCTTTTTACTGCACAAACACATCATGGCTTTTGGAAATCACACCCAACAGAACTCTGTTGCCCTTTTGAAGTGAGAACTTCTTTATTAGAAACTAGAGGGCTGGTGCACAGATTTGTGCATGGGTGGGGTCCCTCAGCCTGGCCTGCGCGCCTTCTCGCAATCCAGGACCCCTCAGGGATGTAGCAGTGCTGAAGCGGCAGGCGGCCAAGGGGACCCTCAGCCAGGCCAAGTGCAGCTCCGCTGCCGCTCATCCCGGCCCTGCTGCACCTGCCACTGCTGCCGCTGCCACCACCACCACCACCGCCGCCACTACTGCCACTCAGTAGTGCTGCCGTGGAGGCGGGAGAAGCTCCAGCCGCCGCAGCTACACTCGACAGCCATGAGCCTGGCTTCTGGCTGAGCAGTGCTCCTGCTGTGAGAGCACACTGACCACCAGGAGGCAGCTCCTGCATTGAGTGCCTGCCCTCTGGTGGTCAGTGTGCATCATAGCAACCAGTTGACCGGTCCTTCTGATCGTTCGGTCCTAACGGTCACTTAGGCTTTTATATATAGAGATGATGCAATCCTTGGGGAAATTCTGGCTTATTGTGTCCTTTCCAGACCTGTGAGAACATGTCTATGCTGGGGAGCAACCATTTCCATTACAGCCGAGAGCACTATCAACATTAAAGCAACCCCTAAACCACTGGGAGACTAAACAACCTGGACTTAAATAACATTGACATTCACATTGAGACAGCCAGGAGTGATTTAGAGCCAGAGTCTGAGGATCAGCACAACAAAGTATTTTAGAGGTTTACTAACATCCCAAAGTCTGTGTTTGGGAATTCTCAATGAGTAATCCACTGATAGAAGTCACTTGGACTAAAGTAATATTTTATACTATGTGTATAAATTTTGGTTTTGCAACATTTTAAGGTTTTTAATAGACTGGATTTTTTTTTTTAAATGCTTGACTTTTGAAATATCAAGTCACAAAGTAACTATTTTGAAAGTTTTCTCTTTTTTAATTAAATTTATGGATGAAGTTTAGACCAAAGAAATCTCAAAAAACACCTATATTTCAAGGTTTTTGGAAATGCTTTAACACAAGGTGAATTCTTTTGGGTTTCTATTATTTAACTCTGTCTGAGGAATTTTTTTTCTGTTCTTTTATCAGGTTCTCCAAAGTACTTACTATTTATTGAACAAGCCAGCACTACAGACTACATTCCCAATGCAATTTCTAATGATGATAACTGCCATTAAAATTCATTCAGACCTGGAAATCTGTGTGAAGCCAATAGGTAGGTATTTCTTTAAACTATTGTAAATGAAGCAAGAAACTCTACAAAACAAATATCCCTGGAAAAACCAACGGAAACATGTCATGATATTAAACAAGAGTTATCTTTGGATGGTGAGATAATGGATAACTTTTTTCCCTTTTCTTTCTTATTGTCTAGTTTAAATGATGCATGTATATTGCTTTTACAATAAAGGAGCTTTACTTTTGAAAAAGCAGTTGTAGATAATAGTATCCACATATGTGACATGAGATCTCAGGTACATGTGCAGGCAACAGAATCTAAGCAGGGACACAGACACATCTACTGAGTATAGAAACAGATTGTAACGGGATAACCCAGCCCACCTGGCTCTCCTGGGCTGGCTTCTTTGCAGATCACAAATATAACTCCGAACATGGTGACAGGATTTTGGTACCAGGTTATTTCTAACCCCTTGTGGAAGGTCAACAACTTCTCCATACAGCTTGGCGGAATAATTTTGGATTTAACCTGAGAAACTAAGCTGTTTGGTTCTAAGTAATAAATCTAATATTCAGCAACAAGAGTTCATAAGAGTTAAAAAATGTCTGTATATACACAAAGGTAACCAAACTTGTCAATTATCCAATCTTTACTTTTAATGGGGTTGACAGAGATTAGGGAAATCAGAGAAGTGCTGCCCCCAAATGTCCTGGAAGAGGTACCAAGTGCATATTATAAGTATAGGCAGATCCTAGTGAATCCTACTGATGTTTGCTAAAACCTGATTTAAGTTAGTAAAACAAACTAAAAAATGACCTCTTAAAATTTATAGTTACACATTCAAGCAAATATATACATATTCAAAATCAAACTTTTTATAATTTTTCTTTTATTAATTTCTTCATCTATTCATTCACTCATTCCTTAATTTAGCACATGCTTTTTTGAGTAGCTTCCATGTCAGAGGCAAAAACGTAGGAGTTGGGGAATACACTAGGAGGGGAAAAAAACACAAAAATCCCCAAGTTCCTGGAATATGTTTATAGTGTTCGAGAAAATTTTTTAAAAACCCAAATAAACAAGTAAAATATATCATATGCCATTTGCAGATACATGTTAAGAAGAAAAATAAATCCAGGAAGTAAGGTCCAGCATGCCAGGTGGGAGCTGGGCATGGAGAAAGAGGTGTTGTTTTAACTGGGTGGTCAGGAAAGACCTCCTATAAGGTAACTTAGTTAATAAATGTAAGAGGGTGGGTTCCAGGCAACTTTAATATTCCCCTTCCTCAAATCATTTGAGCAGCCGAAGTGGGAGAATATTGATTTAGCGTGTCTGTTATATTTCATTGCACATGTGAAATAACCCTACTTTTTATGCTCTAAGAGTGGTACCTTCAGCGCACAAGAATATGGTTCTTATAGAAAAACAATACACAGTAAACAAGTTTCCTCCAGAGTTACATGCCTGGTGAACAGACTCTCTCACATGTCCCTTTTTGGTGGTCCCATTGACTTAGTACAACCGTTCATATGGACATTGATATTTTTTCCCTATTTCTCATGAGTTTGCTTACTGAAATTGACTATGAGCCCATTGAAAGCAGGGAAGGGACAGTGATTTGTCCTCTTCTCAGCCTCAATGCCTTGCCCAGGCCTTGAACATGTTGGATACTCAATGATTATCAGTTGCATAAATAAATTTCAGGAGTAAATTAGGTATTGACTTCAAGCAGTTCATAAGATGACTCCCCAAGGGCCACATTTACCTACTAAACTGTCCAACATGGGTAATTATATTACATCATAATGACACCAGGACTTTTCCAAGCCCTATGTGGACCTGGCATCAAGAAGTCACTCTGTAAAAAGAAAATGATGGAATGCCCCCAACAGGGATCCTTTCAGTATAAGCAGTTCTGAGAGGTTGTTTCCAATCCCATGTTCCCCATGACAGTGCTGTAAAATGAGACAGCTGTCATCACCACATTTTTCTTCTTATCTCTGCAACAGAGAATCAGTTTATAGCCTCTTTCTGAGATGGTGTGGAAGGGTGATATTTTCACATCATATTAGGGGTAAAATTATGAGAGTTTATGATAACCATACTGGGGTGAATAGTAAAAAGATAAAAAAGGAACCCAAAAGCTTGATTTTATAATAGAGTCCTGATTCTAGGCCTTCATAATAATTGTGTGGTTTTGGACAAGTAGCTGAATCTCTGTTAATCCCATGACCTCATCTGTAAACTGAGAATAATAATTAACTACCTGACAGTAATATTATGAAGTTCAAGTTGTAAATATATGTAAAGAATTTGGTATAATGCCTGGTATATAATGTGGGTATTTAATAGATTGTATTTTTACTACTACTAATAGTAGTGTTGATGGAATATTGCTCAGCCCTAATGAAATTTTACCTTTTGTGTCAGCATGATGGACCTAGAGACTATTATGCTAAGTGAAATAAGTTAAACAGAGAAAGACAAATGCCATATGTTTTCACTTATATGTAGAATCTAAAAAATAAATAAAATGAACAAACAAAACAGAACCAAGATACAGAGGACATTTTTGATGGTAGCCATGTGTGAGGGAGATTAGGGGAATGGGTGAAAAAGGGGAAGGGATTAAGGGGTAAAAGTTGCCAGTTGTAAAAACAATCACAGGGATGTATAGTCAATACAGCAAAGGGAATGTAGTCAATATTATTTTAATAACTATGTGTGGTGTCAGATAGGTACCAGACTTATCTGAGTGATCACTTCACAAGGTATATACATGTCTAATCACTACATTGTACACCTGAAACTAATATTATATTGTATGTCAACTATAATTGAAATTTTTTAATTTTAAGAAAAGGAAAATATAATAGTGTTACTATTGGAGAACTTAGGCAAATAAGATTTTTCAACTTTTATATGATCACTGAGTATAATGCTCATAAATATATTTGTAATTTAAAATTTATCTTCCTGCCGAACCGGTTTGGCTCAGTGGATAGAGCGTTGGCCTGCGGACTCAAGGGTCCCAGGTTCGATTCCGGTCAAGGGCATGTACCTTGGTTGCGGGCACATCCCCACTGGGGGGCGTGCAGGAGGCAGCTGGTCGATCTCTCTCATCGATGTTTCTAACTCTCTATCCCTCTCCCTTCTTCTCTGTAAAAAATCAATAAAATATATTTTAAAAAAAAAATTTATCTTCCTCTATATACTCATAATATTAAACTAAGTAGTGTTTATAATATTCTTGGATGTTTTGTCACTTGAGAACATGAATAAAATGTTTCCCCAAAAATTTCAGCTGCAAAATGGGATGGTATTTAATAGAGAACATCTCTGTGGTCTCAGAACATCATACATGATAAGGGATAGCTTAGCAAACATTTTGCCATCATTGCGTTTGATACTTTTCCTGTAGAAAGATACAGTTGATGAAAGCAATTAGCTTTTTGGGTAGGAAAGTGATGCTTTTATGGTGTCTGAGCTCTGGTCTGATAACTTCCTTTTTGTTTATTTAGAGCCTTGAAGTATAACTAAGGACAGAGACCACCGCGAGGCACAAACATCACCAACTTGGGTGATTATGGAGATGGTCTGTGTGATGCTGAAAATGTCTCTAGTTTTTTGACAACGGCTAAATAACCATGGGGTCCAGTGGACTTGGGAAAGCAGCAACATTAGACGAACTGCTGAGCACTTGCATTGAGATGTTTGGTATGAGTCTTGTCTCCCCTTCGTATCTCTTGATACTATCACTTCCTCCTAGTCAGAGCCAAGTGTTGCTGAAGAGCAGAATTCAATCTTCATATCTTGGTGCTTACTAGTAAGGCCTTTTGATTGACCCTAGTCTGTCTCCCCAGTATCACTGCTCTTTGCATTTCCTTCCCTTTACTGCCCACAGCTAATACAGTAGCCATACTGTCTATATAATGATTCTGGAACATTCTCTGCATCTTTCTACCTGCATGCCTTTATCATACCCCTTTCACTGAAATTCTGCTTCAGGGTTTATTGCAGATATCATCTCCAATGTTCATAATACCATTCCTAATCTCCCCTGTCAGGATTGCTCCCTCCCACAGTCCTTTGTAACTTTCAGATGGCACATGGCATATGCTGCTGTGATCACTTCTTGGTCTTTGGCTTAGACAAGTGAGGGTAGCACAATCTGCTGCATTCTCTATTTGCATCTGTGTCTTACATCTCCTACTAGGTTATACATAGACTTTACAGCTATATGCTTATGTTTATGTATCTACCTCAGCACTTTGGATTACTCTTTACCACAATAGAGTCACACTGGAGTTGTTTGTTGAATTGATTTTATAGGAAAAAGCTAAACCAGAGTAGGGTTGCCAGATAAAATACAGGATGATCAGTGAAATTTGAATTTCAGATAAACCACAGTTTTAGTATAAGTATGTCCTAAATAATGCATGGGATATACTTATATTAGGAAATTATTTGTGGTTTACCTTATTTCAGATTTAACTAAAGGTCCTGGATTTTCATTTGCTAAATTCTGGCAGCCCTAAACCAGAGTAAGGGTGAAACCTACCCACTTAACTTGCAAGAAAATAGCAGCAGAAGTAGGAGGAAAATGATCATTGAGTCTATGAGAAATTTTTGACACTAATGTTTCTCTACTGATATTAAGAAAAGAGAAGAGTAGTACTGTTACCTCCTCACCCCTCATCTCATTTTATTTTTTAACAGATGACAATGGAGAGCTGGATAATAGTTATTTGCCAAGAATAGTTCTACTGATGCACCGATGGTATTTATCTTCCACTGAACTGGCAGAAAAACTTCTCTGCATATATCTTTTCAACTACTGTATAATCATAAATCAAGTTATGTACTTATGTAGATAGAGTGTATAACCAAAGCCAGTAAATGAAGATGATAAATAATCTTCAGTCAGTTATCCAGCTGTTTTGTGAATATATTTAGACGTCTAGACAAAACATCTGGATGGTGGAGCAAATAGTTGCCTATCCATCTGGATGTTTTGGCTCTACTTGAACATAAGCACTAGATATAAAATGAAACAGGAGCTCTGGGCTGAATGTCTCTAACCTGCTTCAACATTTCTGCTGTGAGTACAATGAAAGAATATTTAACACTGATTCAGGACCTAATTCATTCCTTTTAGAAGGGCAAAATGATGGACCTAGAGAATTTGATTTAGACATTTAGAAATGCCAGCCAAAGTAATATGATGTGGCTCAGGCACAAACACCACCTAAGATTTTACATCTTTCCTTACTGTCAAGATACAAAGAACATTCTAGCAGGTTTATTGTAATTTGTTGACTGATGTTAATTTCAGGTTTCCTTCTGACTTAAGAGGGGAAAAAACAATACCACTCTAGAACGTTTTTTAGCAGTTCATCAGTTGTACATAATGCAGTCTGAAAAGATGGCTGAAAGTCAAATGACTAAAAATGGCAAGATAGTCTCACATTTATAAGGACGTTTCATTCCCCAATATCTAATGTTATCATGTAATTGCTAATATTGGTTCCTATAGTCTCTGCCTGCTTCAAGCCCAGGGGCCCTGCAGATAAGAGGGAAGCCCTACAAGGCAGGGGAGCCCCGAGAGGGGGCGGGCCCATGGAGTGTCATCCAGGCCAAGTGGGGCTTCCACCTGCCTCCTTCCAGCTTCCTCCACTTTCCACTTCTTCCCTCCATCCTCCCACAGCCTCCAGGCCGAAGCAGATGATAGAGAGGATAAGGGGACATTCACCCTGAACAGAGGTCCCTGCAAGTGAACGGGATCCTGGTTCCAGGTGCCCCAAGTTTCCATGGGTCCCACTGCTGAGGGTAGCCCACAGGGAAGGATGGATGGAATTGTCTCAGTCTGGTCCCATCTCTCATCAGGATCCTAACACTGTCCAAAGAATGTGCCCCAAACAGCATTCTCATCATTAGTATGCCCGCTGATAATATGAAACACACATTAAAATGGATATTTAGACACAATACAGCCTAATGTCTGAAAGTACAGATTGTGTAACAGTTGAAACTGCCTGTGAGCTGACATTTCTTTAGATTTTCCTCCCTTTAGATCACTGGCTACTGCATACCCACAGTGCCTGGCCTATAGCGGGAGCTCAGTAAATATTTGTTAAAGACAGTGAATAAATAGACCAGAATAAATTGCAACACACCCTGTGTATTAACATACCTGCCAATGACATTTTCAAATACTAAAGAAATTAAAGTACATCTATAAGGCATTGATCCTCATTACAAAACTTTTTTTTTTTTTGCCAAAATGGTGTTTCTATGTACTACCAATTTTAAATGATACCTAGTTGGTAGCATAGGTGTAATTATAGTTGACAGTCATCACTTGGTAAGTGCTCAGGAAGGTAAAATTTTGTAAGTGATTTCTCTTCCCGACCGAAAAAGGACATCCCAGAGCAATAAACTATTCAGTGCTGACATCATCAGAACATACTTCTCTCCCCATTTGAACGCCCACATAAGCCAGAGGTCCCCAGTGTGGCCCTCTTATCAGGAATTCATCTACATTGATCAAAGCTGCAGGTGTCTGCAAAGAAAACCAATTGCAAGGAGCTTTTCTTTAACGAGTGCACGTATCGAAATGCCAGTGGAGAAAGCTGTGATGAATTTCGATTAAAGATCTGCTACTTCATGAGGTAAAGATACTTACAAATTTAATTGTCTTGTGGTTTCTGCTTCTGGTGGACACTTTCCCCCAAGAGGCAGACCTGGTTTGACAATGAAACTGACTCAGATTCCCCTTTATTGGTTTTGCTAAAATTGGCCCTCCTCTGTTCTTGGGGGTAGAATGTATCTTTCTTTGGAACTAGAGCTCACGCAGTGGTAAATGTGATTAGGGGATGAAAGCAGCCCTGAGAGTGAATTCTTTTATTCTACTCCCTCACCATGCACATTCCCACCTACTTGCCATGAGCCTAGAAGGGTTTCCTTCTGGAGAGAGTCGGAAAGAGGGGCTCAGCGTGGGAGTGGATTTGGGTCCTTGATTGAAGGGAAAGGGTTAGACTCAATGTGATGGGTGGGGGATAGGAGATTGCTAATTGGGGTGTGGTCCTGGATTCTCTGTTGAATGTAATCTGTAAAATGATACTATAGTTTACACAGCGGCCCAGCTTGAAATCTTCTGGTTGTCAAAAATATGTGATGCCTTTCAGGTACTGGATTCTGAAATTTCCTGCAGAGTTTAATTTGGACCTTGGTTTGATCCGCATGACTGAAGAATTCCGAGACGTGGCTAGTCAACTAGGATATGAAAAACACGTCAGCCTCATCGACATATCCAGCATGTAAGAGTGGTTCAAGCTTCTTTCAAACATGATGAGTCCTCTGTTCAGGGGAGGGACTAGTGACGACCCCACTAGACCTCAATCCATACCATTTCAGAATCAGGGTATGCTTCTTTGAGAAAGTCTTGCTGCAGTGAGCACCATTGCACCTAGTTCATCTCTCCCAGCTTCGATTTATTTATTTGTAAAATGGGGGTAGTACCTTTCTCATAGGGTTATCATGAGCATCCAGTCAGTATATAAAATAGTCGGTAAAAGCATTTGGCACATATAAATGCTCAGTATTATCTAAAACGTAGTGAATGTCCCCTATGCCCTTGCCACTCATAGTGTGGTCTATGGATAGCCAGCATTGGCATCACCTGGAAGCTCAGTAGAAATGCTGATTCTCAGGCCTCACCCTAAATCTGCTGAATTGGAAACTGTACTTGAATAAGATCCCCAAGTGATTCATATGCTCATTCAAGTTTGAGAAGCCCTGTACCTTGGTGCTTCTGAGGCTGTACAAATGTTGACCATAGTTGTGCCATGAACTAGTTAGCTCAGTTATTAAGAACGTGGTGCTAATTAGGATAGTGTTTTATATCAACCAGTTCACTTTGCACAGAGAAAACTATCTTATGACCCTTAGTATGGGTTTCCATCTTGCAAATATGTGTTCTTTTGTCCCAGGCATTCTTACTCTAGCCTATTTTCCTACAATACTTCTTTGAGAGTGATCCAGGAATCATTCGGGATGTTGTTAAAAATCCAGACGATTATTCAGGTTCATTCCCAGTAAATCAGAATCTCTGGCAATGAAGTCAGGCCTCTGTCTTTATAACAAACTTTTCCGATGATCCCTATCTTGCTGAAGTGTGAGAACCAGTTTCTAGTGATTCCCATGTGCCTTAAATCACTACCTATGTATTGATTAACTCCCAAATTTATAGACCTAGTCCTGACCTCTCCCTTATCATCCAAACCTTACTGGCCACCAGAAAGACCAAGTGAGAGATTCTGGATGGATCAGTGCAAATCCACCCTGTCTGGGAAAACAACTCGAAGTTTATGTTCTACTGGCGATGGGTCAGTGGTTTTCTCTTCAAATACCCAGGACAGAGTGTGTATTTTGCACAGGCCCCTGGAGGCAGGCCAAGAGTTACAGAGTCAATAGGTTAATAACTTCCATTGAGGGAAACAGGCTTTCGGCACACTGACCAGACTCACTTCTCTTTTATAGACCTTCCTACGATTGGATGAGAAGAGTCACACAGAGGAAAAAAGTATCCAAGAAGGGAAAAGCCTGTCTGCTGTTTGACCATCTGGAGCCCATTGAATTGGCTGAGCACCTCACTTTTCTGGAGCATAAATCTTTTCGAAGGATCTCGGTAAGAAATTTGACATTTATTCTTCCAAGGATAACAACCTCCATGCCAACTTTCCTAAGAGCCGCGTTTTCATACGCTGACGTGTTGGCAGCCTCTGTCACTGTGTTCTATTGGAAAAGTGCCCTTAATTCACAGGAACAATCCCTTTCCACCAAAAATAAATATTATCCTGTCTTTATTTTATGGCTCGGGAGCTATATTTCTGCTGCTGTATTTTCAATGTCCCCTTTCATAGGATGAAAGCACGATTTTCTGAATACCCAGTGCCGATAGAACCACTCAAGGTTTATTTAGGTCTGTTGGCTTCTCCCAAGTGAACGTGTTTTGCTAGGCCCTTTGTTTGGGGGGAGAAATATTTATTTAGGTTGGGATTTGTATAAATGCCTACTTATGGGTGTAGGTTGAAAATAGGAATTGTAGGCTTTGAGGAGAATCTCAACATCCGAGTGTTTGTTTCCCAGGGATGGAGATCCTGAATTAAACATTTCTTTCCTACTCTGTCTTGATAGCTTTCCTTCTCTACCCTTTTCTCCATTCTGACTGTGGTCTCTTACTAGCTACCTACTCACTGCCCACTTGTTATGATAATATTTCCACTACGGTTGGTTACAAGCAGCCTTTGTCTCTCTCACCAAGCTCTGGGGTGGTCACTTCTCCTCCTTCTTTCCCAAGATGCCAGGGAATTAATTACATTATTCCTTGCAAAGGAGAACATGAGGCTAGAAATATGGATTTCTGAAAGACGGATTCATTTCACTAAGCAATCCTACTTGGAGAGGCCCTCTTACTGACTCCCGGCAGGCAGGCTATAAGAGGAAACCCCCTACAATGTTTATATGACAGAAGGCTCATATGTATGTGATGACATCCATGCTGATTTTCTGAAAATGTGTCTGTTTACTAAAGAGCTGTCTTACTTCAATTACTATTTTTTTCCTGGAAAAATAAAACATTGATAAAATTTGAAATCATTATGTTTATATGCATTTCTTCCTTTTTAATGTATGCCATTGTATCTCAAACTTGCCTGACCATTGGAATCACCAGTTGTGGGTGACAAATGGAGATTCTGAGGTTCTTCCTCTGAAGATAATGACCCTTTAGGTCTGGGACGTTCCCAGAAACCCCTATTTTAGCAAATGCCCCAGGTGAATATTATGACCCAGCAATTTTAGGTTTTACTGGAATGTGACTTGGAGTCTTAACCCTTCCTCACCCCACCAACACTGTCATGTGTACTAGTAATGAGTGTATGTCTGTGTTGGGGAGTAAAATCCAGCCAAATAACATGTTAAAGCTACATGTGTGTTTAAACTTATAAGATGCCATTAAAATGTGAAATGGAAGAAATCGTTGTGCTATAATAAAACAATATCTCACCTCTTTCATGCAACATTCTAATTTCCGATTGTGCAAAGACTTCATTATAATTCAGAGTCTCTTTTACTAGTTTACTGATTATCAAAGCTATGTCATCCATGGCTGCCTGGAGAATAACCCAACCTTGGAGAGATCTATTGCTTTATTTAATGGAATCTCTAAATGGGTCCAGTTGATGGTTCTGAGCAAACCAACCCCCCAGCAAAGGGCAGAAGTCATCACAAAGTTTATCAATGTTGCCAAGGTACGTACATCTGGTCATGAGACTGGAGTTCTTAAAGTATTCTAGGTGTCCATGCACTCTCTTGAGAAAAGTCATTGGGGAAACTTGGGGTTCGTAATATAAAGGGCAATTAAACTATTCATAGATGTTTAATGAACAAATCATACTTCTCTCATGCAAGAAGATTGCTTTTAATTGCCAATACCTGAAAGCACTATTTTTCTGTGCAATGATGGATATATTTTCCTAATGGAATTTATTTGCACTTCATTTTAAATCATTTGTCCTAGGTCCTTGTTATTAAATTGTGTATGCATTTCACCTGTAATTCAGAAAGCTCAGAACAATTCAAAAATTGTCAGAAAGTATTGATGTTGACATTTTTTATTGCAGAAGCTCCTTCAGCTCAAAAACTTTAACACCCTGATGGCAGTGGTGGGAGGCCTTAGTCATAGTTCCATTTCACGCCTCAAAGAGACCCATTCTCATCTTTCTTCAGAAGTTACCAAGGTACAGTGGCTTGGATGCTAATCCCAAGTAAAAAATTCATTCGTAAACTATTTAGGGGTAGGATACTCTTAACAAATGTCACTGTGAGGGGAGTGTTTTCTTCTTAGACAATGGTGGGTTACACATGGGGAATAAAATAGGAAGGGACTAGACATGCCACCTGGAAAACCGGTTGGAGGTAGCAGCAAGTGTCTGAGTAAGAGTACCTTGAATACCATTACATACTGTAGTTGTAAATATTCAACAAGTATGTATTTGGTGCTTCCCATGTGATAGGCACTGTGATACAATCAGGGACTACAAGGCAAATAAGACAGAAATCATTCCTATCCTCCCCTCCTCAAAGGAAGTCATTGAACACCCGCTCTACTCATGGCACTGTGTTCAACTCAGCAGAAGATGCAATGGAAGCGAGAGACATAGGCCTTGTCTAGAAACTCCTCAGATTTATTGCTGATTTGTCAGGAGGAAAAGTATATTTTTTAAAAATGATTATTTCCCAAATCAAGCTTTCTTCCATATTTATTTCCAGGCACCTATAATAATATTTTTCCTTACTGAACATAAAGAAACACTTCCTTCTTATGAAGAGATTTCCTTATAAGAGTATACTTTGTTGTATCAGTAAGGACACTTTCAGCTGTAAGTTTTTTAAAACTCTGAAATGGCTTAAACAATAAGGAAATAGATCATATTCTCACATACCTGGAAGTCCAGAGACAGGGCTGACTTCAGGCATGGTCTAATCAGAGCTCTGGCTGCTGTACTCCCTTCCTCTGAGTATCAGTTTTTATTTTGTTTTGTTTTGTTGTTTCATCAATGCAGAAAATTAAACTCTCTTGTTCATGAAAGGTGGAGACAGAGAACATTTCTTTTGTTTGCTCTGCCCTATGGAATTAAAGACCTTCTTTTTAGACAGATTTGGACCATCTCAAGTCATATGTCTATTCTGGACCAATAACCAATTGCCAGAGGAATACAATGTACTGATTGGCTTAACTCTGTGTTTCTGAACCAGTCACAAACCAGAGGGGTGGGGTTATGATAACGGTAAATCAGAACCCATCCTTGGACCTGGGGCTGGAAACAGCTCCCTCTGAGTCACATGGGCTGCTTTGGGAAAGAGTAGACTGAACAAAATCAGGGTCTATTAGGAAGGTCTGGTTGCTGTTAGGCAACCAACAATAGCTTGTCCATAGAAACAGGAGGACGTAGACCACAGAGCACTGGTGTCTGACCTCAAGCACTGCACTCACTCCAAGTATGATAGGGCTCATTATGTGTTTCATTTTCCTTCAGCTTTGTACTGAATTTCAAATAAAGAGCAAAACACACTTTTTTTATTAAAAGTTTTTAATGTTGACATGATTGCAGACTTTCCCCTGGTGAAGAATATGAATCCAACAGAGGCTCAAAGAGGCGAGGTACCACCAGTGTGTCTTAAAAGTTATTTATTTGAACTCCTCTTTCTTATAGAAAAGGGAACTGAGGCCCTAAAGGTGAAGTGACTTGGTCAGGGTCACCCTGTGAGTGGCAGAGTGAGTGGCAGAGTTCAAAACCACAGCTGTCTCACACCTCAGTGTGACATTTCCTACCCCATACTGTCCTAAATTAATCTTCAAGTAATATATCTCAAATGCAACTTCTTTGGAATAACTAGGAAATTTTAATATACTACATGCTTAAAGATAATACAATACATGCATATATTTGTGGACCGTAATATTTTCCTCAATTGTAAAATACGTATATAGACATGATATTTAACATCCCAGCTTCCCTAATAGGTAGGCGGAGGTGTGGGCTATTTGCATGTTGTAGCAGAATGGAACAGGCTGTTCAACTCCTAGTACATTTTTCTTTCTTGTTCCTGTTTAATATTTCCTTGCATCAACATTGGTGCAATGGATACTCCTCTCAGTAGCCGAGGAATTTCCTAGCCACACACTGCGGGCCTGGGGATGGGCAGATGGGAAGGCTGTCTGAAAATCTTCTTTTCCATCTGTTCCCAGAACTGGAATGAAATGACAGAGCTGGTCTCCTCCAACGGCAATTACTGCAATTACCGCAAGGCCTTTGCCGACTGTGAGGGCTTCAAAATCCCCATCCTTGGCGTGCACTTGAAAGACTTGATAGCAGTCCATGTCATTTTCCCAGACTGGACGGAGGAGAACAAAGTGAACATTGTGAAAATGCACCAGCTCTCCGTCACCCTGAGTGAACTGGTCTCCCTGCAGAATGCCTCCCACCACTTAGAGCCCAACATGGATTTGATCAACCTGCTCACGGTGAGTCCAAGGGACTGGGGTGTGTGCTAATCACTCTTCCGCCCATTGCATCCCAGGGAAAGCGGAAAGATCTGTGCCTGCAGTTCACTGGGGATGCAGAGGGTAGGGTTGAACTCCTGGTCAATAGATAGGGAGAAGTCTCAAAAGATGAGGGAAGGGGATCCCATACTCATAACCACATGACTTAAGGCCCAGTTTCTGCGCCTGCAGCTCTAGTTTCTAGCATTCCTAGAGAGGCCCTCCAGCCTCTCCTTCATCACACTCCTGTAATAAGCCCAGTTTCTGCGCCTGCAGCTCTAGTTTCTAGCATTCTTAGAGAGGCCCTCCAGCCTCTCCCTCTCCTTCATCACACTCCTGTAATAAATCACCTCCCTCTCTATGCCCTTCACTCGCTGCTTTTCTTATCCTCACGGCTGTTGGCGAGGCCTGGAGCAGTGCAAGGACCTCCTTTGTGATCTGCCCTCACCGCCAGTCTCCCCCAAACCCAAGATGCAGTTACCAGCCTGACACCGGAGGCCCTTCAGGACTCATGTTCTGACTCTCAGGCCAGCCTTGTTTGTTATCATGTGGTTCCCCATGAGGGACAGTGGACTTATACTTTCCACCATGAACTGCTGCCTCTGCTTCCTGGCCTTGCACTTTCTTGGAAAACCCCTTCCCTACTCACCCCTGTGATTAGCCCCAATCCAAAAGTGTCTATCTTTCTGGTACATTCTCTGTTCCCCTCCAAAGCACTAATGCACCTGTCCCATGCATTGCCCTTGCACTCTATGCCTTCTTACCTATAGGAGGTATCCCTTGGCATTAGACTTTTTCCTCCTGTTTACCTGACTTATACATCACATGTCCCCAGCACCTTTCACAAAACCTGGCATATTTAGGAGCTCAATCGGTGAATGAAATGCCGTACTTAGTAATGATGGAGGTCAGACAGAAGTTCACCTACCGTTCATATTTTAGGGCATTTGTGACACACACCTTCAGCTGGTGTCTGGATCCTAGCACCTTTAGACACAACAGGTGTATGGAAGAGAACTTATCCCATTGGCTGCCTCTTGGTCAGGGGGACGAAGCAGAACCAAATTCTCTCACGCTTGATAAGCAACTTCCCTGTATAGGTTTTTAACACTGTAGCATCTGAAACTTGGCTGCAATATTGAATTGACTCTTTTCCTTTAATTGGCCATGGAAAACAAAAACAATACCAGGTCTGAAGTTCTGAGAGCCTAAACCCCCTAGGACTGTGCCACTGGAATAGAGTGTGGTACCCAGACCTCCGCAACTGTTCCTAGAGCATACAATTCATTTACCAAAGAGGAGAAACCCAAAGTGTACAAAGTGATGCCAGCCGCACCCTTAGTATAAAGCAGAAGTAGCCAACACACAGAAACACAAATCTCTTGGGGTTGAGTTTGTGTGACAAATAGTAAACAGACAGACATTCTCTATTGGAGGAAGGGGGAAACCTCACCACAATCTAGGCACCTGCGTTTACTAGTATTAATCATTTGCCTTGCAAATCTGTTTCCATGAATAAGTGCCCAGACTGGCACCTTCCAACAGACTACAAACCCACAGACACAGGTGATGTCTGCAGACCAGCCTACATTCCACATGTCCCTGTCTGGGTTGTCTTCATGAGGTGGAGGAGGATGTCACAGAGCAGAGGCCTACACTTTAGACAGTTTCTCATCCAGGCAAAAGATAATGATGGAGCAGGGAAATTACTTTTGAGTTATAATGCAGCAAGCAACATCACTACATTACAACAGACCTTTAGAGAAATATAAAAGGGTTTGTGAATGAAACTTTGGGGATGCAAATAAAAAAATCTGACCTGTAGAATTAAAAGCTAAGAAATAACTCCTTTTGCTAGGAAGAAAAAAGAAAAAGGTACCCCCGCCCCACCTCCCTCTTTCTCTCTCTATTATGGAAGGAAAATTTGGATGCCAACATACACCGTATAACACTTAGTAACGGCAGTGTGATATAGAAGAGTGGAGCGGCAACATCCTAGAAGGAAGATCTACCTTTGAGCCCTGCCTCCTTGCTAACGAGCCTTGACTTTGGATTTTTCCAGAAGGATTTTGTGTTCATTTGTGAGGTCTCTCCCAGCTCTAAACTTCTAGAATTCCAGATGTGGGGAATGGTGGAGCCTTGAGAATAAGGAACCGAGTGTCAACGTGATTGAGTGATTCCAGCCCAGAGACTTGGTAGGATAGATGGCACCGTCCCTCATGTGAACACACATCATCAAGCCAGTTTCCATTTAAAGCCAAGATCCTTTCTCTCTCTTCACAACCAAGTTCCATGAACTGGGATACACATTCATTCCTTCTGCCACAGGCGGGTTAACCTCAGAATGAGGATCGAGGAGACTCCCACTGTGTCCACTAGAGCCCAGTGAGCATTTCATGAAGCACCTACCTGGTGGGACTAGACCAGCCGTGGGCAAACTACGGCCCGCGGGCCGGATCCGGCCCGTTTGAAATGAATAAAACTAAAAAAAAAAAAAAAGCCCGACCCCTTTTATATTAGTTCACACAAACACTCCATCCATGCTTTTGTTCCGGCCCTCCGGTCCAGTTTAAGAACCCATTGTGGCCCTCGAGTCAAAAAGTTTGCCCACCCCTGGACTAGAACCATAGGACTGACTGCAGCTGCCCAAGTGCATGGGAGGGGTCTGAGAGTGCACCCTTTAGAGGGCGATTCATTTTGCCCCAAGAGTCTAGGTTCCATTTCTGCCTGAAGCGACTGCTTCTAAACGTGGCTCCCAGCGAGGAAGCCGGTGTGACTGAGAGCCCTGGGAGATAGAAAGTGAAGTCCACAATCACTACTGCCTGCTCTGGGCAACAGGCTGCGTGGCGATGCGTGGACTTTCTCTAATAAGTGACTGCAGTTTTCACGGCACTTCACACACATGTGTTCTTAGTACATTCTCACAAGCCCCCTGTGATGTAGCGCCTGTCAGGGCAGGGAGTGGAACATCACCCCTGCCCTTCCTCTTTTACAAATGAAGAAACTCAGATTTATAAAGGACAAAAGGCTTGCAAATGGCAAGCTTCTAAATCCCAGCTCTCTCTCTCTCTCTCTCTCTCTCTCTCTGTCTCTCTCTCTCTCCCTCCCCCCCCCTGATACCTCTCTCTCTCTCTCTCTCTCTCTCTCTGTCTCTCTCTCTTCCCCCACCCCACCCCTGATAGGCATTTACTCTGTAATGTGTTGGCATTTATTTTATTTTGCATCTGTAAAAATTAAGTAATCTCTCTCTTTCTTCATGGACATATAAAAGGCTGATTACAGAACAAAGTCTGTGAGGGCAGGGACCTTTTATCACTGTCACCTTAGCCCCCGAATGGCCCTGGGCACATGAAGGAAGGAGGACCACATCACCGGACTGTTGGGGTTTCGACTGTTCTCCTCAGGGAAGAGCTGGAGAAGACATTTTTGATTGTCATCCCATTCGCATGCGAGGAGCTTTAAAAGCTGACGCTTCTTGTTTCGTGGCACATAAAATAGTCGGATGCTTTTCATAATATTTTTAGATCTGTCAGATACGTTTACCAGAGTCTATGCAAATAACTGGAAAGCCCCTGTAGTTTTACAGTCTCATAAGAAAAAAAGAAGAAGAATTGCAAAAATGGTGAGTGGAGACAGTGTGATGATCCCGTGTGTCTGATGGTACAGTTCTCCAGTCCCAGCCAGGCAGGTCCTCACGTCCAGACTGAACCCACAGCCACCGTTGCCGATTGGCTTGGGTGGAAATGCAGCACCTGAAATGGTGACTCAGAACGTTTTTCAGAAACAACCAAACTTAAAAGATGTTCGACACAAGCACATATTCTTGAAATCCCATTGACAAGCTGCCTGTATTCTAAACATGGGATAGGGAGTTGAACAGGTCTTTTCGGGGCCATGTAAAGCCCTAGGAGATCCCAAAAGACAAACAGAGAGTCGGCAGGAGTATCCCAGAGGGCAGCGTACGTCCACCGATGAGCACAGTGGCGTTTGGCTGCTGCACTGACTGGAAACCAAACCCTGCCTCCCCATCTGTGACGCCCTCTCAGCAAGCCGTGTTGGACACATTTTAGCTCATTTAACCTTCGCCACAGCCCTGGGAGGGAGCTAGGATCTATGATTCCATTTTATAGACCAGGAGACTGAGATTCAAGAAGATTAGTGACTTGCCTAGGTTCACACCGTCCCTAATGGGAGCAAACACTGGGAGAAGAACAGAACACTTCCATCATAAGTGCAGCTATCTGTCCATTTGACATATGACAATACCCAAGGATGTTCTGTGTCTTTCGAGAGAGCATCTCCCCTACTCGGTGTGTGGCTTATTTGAATTTCTGGTTGGATGTCTGGAACTGCTGTCAACTCCTCTCCAGCACCAGTCTTTAGAGGCAGAGTCAGGAGGACAGGAACATGCCCATCAAAGTCCCCATTAACTCTTTTAAAAATATATATTTTATATTGAATTCAGAGAGGAAGGGAGAAGGAGAGAGAGAAACATCAATGATGAGAGAGAATCATTGATTGGCTGCCTTCTGCACACCCCCTATTGGGGATTGAGCCAGCAACCCTGGCATGTGCCTTTGACCAGAATCGAACCCAGGATGCTTCAGTCCACAGGCTGACGCTCTATCCATTGAGCCAAACCAGCTAGGGCAACTCTTTTTTTTTTCTTTAATGATTAACTTAGTTTATTTTTTTCAATTACAGTTTACATTTGATATTATTTTGTATTAGTTTCAGGTGTACAGCACAGTGGTTAGACAATCATATCTTTAAAAGCACTCCCCCTGATATTTCTAGTACCCAACTGGCACCATACATAGTTATTACAATATTATGGACTATATAACTCTTAATAACAAGGAATTCAGAAGGAAGACATCCATTTGTTTTCCTCCTTTGTATGGAGCATTCACAGTGCAATGCAACACGCTGGGCAGATATTACAGAGGTGGAAAAGCTAGGTGCATGGCCCACTTTCATGAGGCTTGGGGACTAGCTGAGTCTTCTATTGTGGATTTTACAAACTGGCAAGCACCTGCCCACGGCAGATATGTTTTATTTGGCTCACATGGAATCATAACTTTTTTTTGTTATTAGCTGCCAGTGTTTAAAAATTGGGATATCCCATATAAAACTCCAGATTTCTGGCTCCTTTTGACAAATCAGAAGACATGGCAACTGTCAGGCTGACAACAGTTTGTTCTAGCTCAGTAGTGGCTGCCTCCCATTCGTCAGAGACCACACCATTCCCCATGGCTTCCCTACCCCAGAGATCCAGTGTCAGATTCCACTCACGAACACAAATTTTCCTTGTTGTCTACCTAACAAGAAAGACACCCAAGTCAGTTACCCTGGCAAAGACCTGTTTTCCAAATATGATGCTATTATGCCAGTATTGCTGTCAAAATATTCCTTTCAGGCTCACCAAGTAGAATCATGGAGCTTATTTGGTTATTAATGGTTGTCGGCACACACTATGCAATATGAAATTGAATTATGGTACCAGATAAAATTATAGATGGGAATGAAGCTTGTGTATCATCCATTATCATGTGTAATCAATACATAATTTTATATCCTCTTGAAATAAAATCCCTTTCAGACATCCCACTTTACTCTTCTACATAGTGGCTGATTCCTTATGGCATTAGTTTGTGATGTGGGGATGGTCCTCTCCTGTAAAGTGGCAGAGCCCCTGGAGATGAGAGTGACTGTTGTTCCGGGGAAGATGGGTATAGTGTACATTCTTTGTGAGCAGGGTGTTCATGATCGGAAATAATGCCGGGTCAATTTTATAGGAAAGTCAATTTTATAATGTTTAGGAAAAACCTTTAGGTGGCAAAGTCTAGATAAAGCAATATTGATGCTGATGACCATACAAGGTTTATTTTTCCTCTTTTTAATTTCATTTTCCACCTCTGCATGCCATCTTCATGCTGTTCTGCTTTCACTCAGATTATTAGACATTGGCTTAACCATTCCGTTTGAAAAGTATATCGGCGATTCAAGTAAATAAATAAATATGAGCCAACATATTTATTTATCCATTCTAATTTCTTGTAGCTTTCACTGGACCTCTATCACACAGAAGATGATATTTATAAACTGTCACTGGTGCTGGAACCTAGAAATTCTAAATCGGTAGGTATTACTTTCTCTCTCTGAGAATCAGTGCCCAGCACCGCGGTTTGTCATTTACAGTAACTGGCTGTTGCGGTGGTGCTCTGTGATCTAATGATTGAAGAATTTAAAAATCTCTATTATTCCCTTTTAAGCAGTCACACAACCTAGCCCTGACAGTTTGAGAAGTATTTCCTTACATAGGCTAATAAAGAAGAACAGCATTTGCAATTATTCTGTGTTACTATTGATCTTCTATGGGTTGTGTCTCCTCCAAGAACTCACCTACATCTAGGACCAAAAAAAGTGAACCATAACTCATCTTAACGTTAAAGATCATTAAGATCCTTTCAGGCTTTAAAAAAAATCCCATTCAACATAAAATTAGATTTAATACATTTTCAATACCCTGATCATCATCCACGAATTTTGCTAAGTCTAATAATGATGGACTCAGCTCAGAATTTTAATATTACATTGGATGGTGTCTTACTTAATTGATGGCTGACTCTTAGTTAAGAAACAGTATATAATGAGATTGAGGAAAATGCATTACTGAATGAGCACTTCCCATCAGTTTTAACAAGTGGACTATATCTTAGGTGTGTTTTACACTGATAAAAAAAAAAAAAAGACCTGGGTGAATTTGAAATTCACAATGAGGATGAGGTTTGCATGTTAAAGGAAAAAGTGTCTCTGTTTGCTGCTTATACCCATATCCTGAGGTCAGTTTGTTAATAAAGGTCTCATGCTCCTCTTCTCACCGGTTGAACCCTGTGGCACATTGCCAGCAACTCCAGCCCTAAGTCTGTCCATCTATAATACCTGCAGGGATTCCGCACCGTGAGGCCGAAAGAGGCAGAATGACTGTGAGCGCTGCTCTCCGGCTCTGGGAGGGCACGCACATGGTTGTTGGATGCCTGGCAGGCATCATATACATGTTATCTCGTTAACTCCGTTAACGAGTCAGCTGACCTGGTAGCATCTGTTCTTAAAATAGTGAGGGTGATGGTTCCATCCGCTCTTCACCCTGCAGTCCCCCGAGGCCCATCTCCTAAGGACACTGCAGAATGGAGTCGTGTGGGAAGATACAGCAGAGACAAAGGGAGGAGTGAGGACCCAGACTCTCCAAAGTTATCATGACTAAGAGACAGCTAGAGAGAAAGGCAAAGTTAATGTGGAGGGAGGAGGAATTGGTCCGCCCCTTCCTCATTCCATAGCTTTCATGGGGTGAAGCTGGCCGTGGTGTAGTCGGCTGTACTGACCTGTGCACACAGCATTTCCACCTCCGACTCCTTCCTTTACCTATAACCAGGTACCTTCGCTGCTACCTGTTGGTTGTTGGATGCCTGGTGGGCATCATATACATGTTATCTCGTTAACTCCATTAAGGAAACAGTCTGGTGAGCATAGGTCTCTAGTAAAAAGGAGAACTGGGATTTGGCTTCATGCCCCCCTGTCTGCCGGTCTGTGCTTTTTCTACTGCGGACGCTGCCCATCATTTTCCCACCATCCCTTGTGGGAACAGGGGCGGGTCAACCATTTCAGCACGCTTGCCTGCTTTGTGCTCTTTAGATCTACTTTAGTTTCTTTTCAGGATTTCAAGTTGTTGCCGATTTGGGGAGACATGTCCCTCAAACATTGAAAGGTCTTCTTGTAAAAGAAGAAACTTTCAAAGCCCCTTCCACGTGCTAAAATCCTGTGAGTCTATAAACCACATTTCCCAGTCCCTTTCTGTCTCTCCTCTTCATGGAATGCCACCCTACTGTGTGCTTAGGGTTTGACATGTGCTGATCAGGGGAGAGCGAGGTGCAGTCAGGACTGTGTTCCTGAGAGCCTCTGGCTTTGATGTGCTCACCGCCGGTGCTGGCCAACCTCGCCTACTAAACAACCAGCTCCACTAAGAACCTTTTTCTGTTGTTCTTCGTGGGACCCTTCGTGCCTCACTGGATCTTTGTGTTTTACTTTGTGTCTCTGATTTTTCACACGACCTCAAGATGAACAAAATACGTAACAGTTCCACTTAGAGAATAAGTCCAAACAACTTAATAAATATTTATGTTCTAACAGCATAGTGCCCAATTGAAAAAAATAATACACATATATTGAAACAAAAACACAGTTACTTACTAATGGATGTGTGTGCCTCTCGGGCTCTGTACAAGTTCTTAAGTGTTGGAATCCGATTGGAAACTGCCACCCTTATTTCTTGTTCCATGTTGACGTTTTGCTTCGGGGCCGGATATCACTGACAGCAGTGTGGCACTGTCCAATGGGCGGCTGGCGCACTACTTCAAGCTGGTAGTTTGTGTGGGGTCTGACAGATAATGGTATCACTCTATTTCCCTTGGAAGTTTGAAATATCTTTTGGTACCCCTCTGAGTTCTCTTCAGTACTGTGGGCAGGGTATCTTGCTGTACAGTTTGGGAACTGTGGGCTCATCCTTGATCAGATCAACGAAATGAAAAGCTTGCTAGGAAGAGCCATCACGTGTGCAGATGTGTGTGTGAGTGACTGTCAGTGGGAGTGACCGTATCCAGGGGACAGGTCATTTTTGGTCCTGTGGGTAGCCCACAGGATGACACCAACACCCACCTCACAACATTCTTAGGGGCTTAAATCAGTACATTTACTCCTCAATTCCTCTTGCAAAAATGTTTGTCCCCAATTTAGTATCAAAAAAACAACAACACACCTGTTAGTACAAGTTTGCATGTGTGCAGCAGCCAAAATATTTACATTCTGTGGGGTCCCAGGGAGAGGATGTAAACGGAACAGCTGGTCTCCCGATAGGATTGTGTTTTTCACTTGTGTTGTGTAAACATGTTATGCGTTATCGTCAACATCTTCACCACATTATTAAGTGAAAATGTCTTGCAAGAATATGGAAAAACCTGTGTAGAAAGCTCACAAAAGAGGGCTATAGGGACCTAATAATTAGACAAACAGTCTAAGTGTATTAAGAGAGATGCCAGTATAAGGACATAAACTTGGCCAACCACTGGCAACCATTTACTGCACATACCTACTAATTTATCACTAGCACCAAGTATTAAAGAATTAGGTTTCTGGTGTTTCATATATTTTGTATTATATAGAAATCTGTATGGATTGTTATATGGGAGTTTAAGGATGTTTTTGTAATATTTGGAGAACTTGGATAGGATTTTTGGATGGGCTGGGAGAGCAATTATTTTTTTCCATTTAAAATAATAGAATCTAGGTTCCTGCTAAACAGAATGCACTATTCCAACATGTATTTCGTTACAGATTAGATTCCATTGATAAAAGATGTTTGTTTTCAAAATATTTAAGTGTTGCACACATGTAAGTTTTTACTGGGATTATTAATATACAAAATGTATATGTCTTTCTCAGTGTCCCTCGTCCTAATTGTTCAAGGCCCCAGATAAAGTTGAAAAATGTGTGTGTTTTCTGTCAGCAGCCTACCTCCCCTACAACGCCTACCAAGCCCGTGGTGCCCCTGGAGTGGGCATCAGGAGTGGTGCCAAAGCCAGACCCCACAGTCATCAACAAGCACATAAGGAAATTAGTTGAGGTAAGTGGATGAAGGAGTGTTAAGAGTGAGCACTAGAAGGCCCCTTTCTCTTCTCAGAATATTCTTTGATTGCCCAGGAATCAACTGGAGTCCATGAAAACAGTACCCCCGCCCCCGCAGGTAGGAACAATTTAGCAGACACTTAGCTCAACCTGACATCAGCCTCCTGGGGCAGTCTCCAAGAAAGGCCCCCTTTCTCCTTCTTGTTAGTCTATTCTCATGTGCCCAGATACTCACAGCTACTTTCAGTTCCTTTCTTTCTCCAGCACTTGACACTTCTGTCATCGTCCCTGCAACTTGAGAGGCTGTTTGGGACAATCTACTCATTCAAAACCCACATGGGTCACAATAACCTGCCACATATACTGGCTACCTGAGAGTAGGAAAAGATCCTGTAAGTTGGATAGCTGTTCTTGCTGTAGGCATCTGGGGGTCTGGGACACAGCAGCACAATGCCATTTAGGTAAGAAACATCACTTAATGAAGGGCAAGGCTCCGTCAGAGCTTTCCATACAGAAAGAGGAGTAGCAGCCCTAACTGGTTTGGCTCAGTGGATAGAGTGTCAGCCTGTGGACTGAAGAGTCCCAGATTTGATTCTGGTCAAGGGCACATGCCTGGGTTGCGGGCTCAATCCCCAATAGGGGGCATGAAGGAGGCATCCAATCAATGATTCTCTCTCATCATTGATGTTTCTATCTCCCTCTCCCTTCCTTTCTGAAATCAATAAAAATCTTAATAAATAAATAAATAGCGGTGCCAGTGTAGGGAAAATGGAAACATTTGCTTGTGACATGACCAATTCTGTGTCCTCAAGTTCCACACCTGTTTCATCAACCTCTTTCTCTTCGCTCTCCTCTTGTACAGTTAGAGTCTGTTTTATTGAATGTTTGAGACAGCTTCACCTGGAACTCTGAATTTCTCAGCAGCTTCTAACTGTGCTTGCTGAGATAAATCCTGGATCTCAGCTTCCCCCAAACTGTGTAGGTATCTGAAGTTGGGCTCTTATAGACATACTAGAGGCCCAGTGCATGAATTCGTGCACAGGTGGGGTCAGCCGTGCACGATGGGGGTCCATTGGGCCGAGTCAGCTGGGGGAAGAGATTGTGGATGGTTGGCCAGCTGGCCCCGCCCCTGATCAAGGTATTGGGGGCCGATTGGGGGTGGGACCAGCCCCCAGGGGAAGGGGGGCTGATTGGGGCCTGGATCAGACTGGTTGGCTGCCATAGTATGCGTCATAGCCACCGGTCATTCCTTTCGTTCTGGTCATTCTGCCAGTCCAGTCGCTGGGCTTTTATATATATAGATGGTTATGTGATGACAAAGAGGATATTCTTAGATTTCCAGATAGTGACCCTAGGAACCCCTGTAACCTGTCGAAGATCCCCTTTGGACACAGCCATCCATGCCTTCTTTTCACTTTGCTTCTGTTTTGCTTTGCTGGCTGGTTCTCATGGATTTCAGCTGCTGCTGCCAGCTGGGCTTGTTGTGTGGCGGCCTGTGTGGGATCTTGTTCCTCCAGCTCTGGTACTGATTCATCACTGCCAGCCTCTGTTCTGGACCCTGTCTTAGCCTGAGCTGTAGCAACTCCTGCTCTGTAGCAGGGAGGTTTCTGTGGCTTCACTGAACATCTTTGCGGGGACCACAGAACCAAGATAGCGGCAGCCTCATTACTTCTTATCTTAAACAATTTTAGGCTGTTCTCAATGCCTTCACTTCTGTTTGAACTTCAGAATTAGTTTGTTCACTTAAAATGATTCCCACTGGGACTTTGATTGGAGTTGCATTCAAAGCATACTTTAAATTTTGAAAAGTTTCACATTTTATAGCTTTATTTTCTATTGTCGTGGTATTGGCATTTGTGAATTCAACCCTGAGGTATCAGTTTAGACCTATTTTCTCTGGGAAACCTTTTTAAGGCCACCTCTCCCACCCCATAGCACTGTTTTTATCATTAGCATTGCACTTATCTAGTTACACCATAAAGGCTCTTGATTTTTTTTAATCTCCCATGAGATTCTAAGCTTCTTGATGGAAAGAATAATATGCTAGTTATCATTGCTTTCCAAATAAGAAGTTCAGAGCCTGACTTATAAGTGGTCGTTCAATAAATATTTGTCTTTCTTTTGTAGTCTGTGTTTAGAAACTATGACCATGACCATGATGGGTACATCTCCCAAGAGGACTTTGAAAGTATAGCTGCCAATTTTCCCTTCTTGGATTCCTTCTGTGTGCTGGACAAAGATCAGTAAGTGTTAATTTTGTTATATTTTAATGCAACTTTTCTGAAGCAGAAATTTATTATCAGAAGAGAACAAGGAAATGGTTCGTTTACATCTTGACAGCTTCCATCCTAGTGCGTTGCTGAATCTAACGTTTCACTGAATTTTCTCTTGGTGGCCATGAACATGACTGGTTGGATAGAATTGCAGGACAGTTCACATTGTCAGTGCTGAGTACAAGCGCCCACTTGCAAGTTAGTCCAGCTCTCCATTTCCCACATTATTTTTACTGTTTAGCTAGTTCATCAACCCCGAAACCTCCATCAAAAAAAGTAGAGGAGAAATAGTGTTAGGGCTGGCCTGGTACAGTCCTCAGCATCAGCGAACCTGCAGGCAATCTTCAAACTCACCAAGAAAGTAAGATTTTTATTTTTTACTTTTTGATTGTTTGTGGTTTTCATGAGAGCAGGTTATGGCTGCAGATAGCCAAGACTACACCCATCCTTTTTTTTTTTCTTCCTTTGCCAGCTCAGAGGTTGTCTTGATAAACAACAAAAATTTTCTTTATCTTCAAATAATTCTTGAAAAATTAAATGAGTGTAGAGGCTAAAACCCAGCTCATTGAAAAAATGATTAAAAAATAATTTCCAAGAAAGCCTGGCATTAATAATTTGATTAACTTTAATTGTCTGAGATTAATTCATAGTTTAAAAACCATCTATAATGAAATGCTGGGTTTTATATTGGTGATATGTCCACATTATATCATATTAAATTCCTCTAATATTTTTGTTGGTGTAAGAAATTTTTAAAAATTAAAGCTGTATGTAATTCAACATACCAAGGAAAGCCTTGGTACTTTACCATAAATGTCTTAAAAACTTAATTCATCTGTATGGTATATCTAGAACAAATAATACTTTTAAATGAATCAAATTATTTTTTAAAAAAACTTCCTTTATAAAAGTTAAGTTACCCACAAGCTGCCCATGTCTTCCATTTGTTTGTTTTTATGAGTAGCACATACATAGGATATAAACTTAAAATCATTTCCCAGTCTTTATTTCTTGTTCTCTGCTGATATTTTAGATGGAACTGAGACTTCCCAGCAGATATATATTTTTTTCCCAAAAAAATGAAGGTTTGAAGTATTCATAGCTTATATGATTTCTTTGGTCAGACAGTCAAAGATGTTGATTTTGAGAGGAAAGTGGACCATCCAGGAAGAGATTCTAGCAGGTTGCTGAAGATGAAGCACCACTATTCAGGGGAATAGTCAGGGCTGGAGATGTAGAGTGTGATGTCTTCAGCCCAGTGGAGTAAGCTGGAGTCCCAGGCATAAGAGCCGAGACGGGGCCCGAGGAATGTGATTTCGGGGGCTCCTCTCCCCTCATGTAGAAGCTAAAAGGAAGAAGTGGGTCATGCAGAAGAGCCAGAGAAGCAGGATCATGAAAAGGGAGGGAAACACAGGCATCCCTGGAGGAGACACTGTCACATGCCGCCCGCAGGTGAACAAGCTCAATGAATGAGAAAAGGCTGCTTGAGGCTGTCATTGTGACAGTTTCAATAGAATGGTAAGGTTAGAAACCTGATCATATGGTGTAAAGAGTAATGGAAGGAATGGAAAAAATGTCTAGTGAATACTCTTTTTGAAAACTTTTGGAATTTGAGAAGAAAGAGAGAAAAGATAAGTATAGGAGATGGCATCAGGACTGAGGAAAGACATTTTTAGGAAGGAAGTCCTGAGCATATCGGTAAACAGAGGAGGAGTGGGTGGAGAGAGGGAGCAGAACCTGGGGAGGCTGGAGAGGGGGGATGGGAGAAGGACTTCCTCTGAGAGAGGATGACTCCAAGAGAGGGTTACCAATGGCAGTGGCTTGCATGGCATCATACTGAGTAGACATGAGAATGGTGGGTCCAATGATCAGTTCTCTGCCTTCCTCTTGCAGTCTGATTCTTGCAAACTCTGTTGCAAGGCAAGGGTTAGAAAGGAGATGTCCTTCTGGAAGCTCCTATTTAGTAATAAAGGAGACTTTTTGTGCTATGGTGCACAGGACACACACACACACACACACACACACACACACATCTGCTTACTAAGAAAGCCTTTGGCACTTCAAACCTATGAGAGGCCCTCTCCTCCTTCCAGATGTAGCAGAGAAGTGAACCTTCCTCACCTGCTTTCAGCCACATAGATTTGGAGGAGTAAATGATTAAAGTATGACAACCACTTTGCAATATGGTATTCAAAGATCCCTCCCTTCTTTGATTCTCTTCACAGGGATGGCCTAATAAGTAAAGATGAAATGATGGCTTACTTCCTGAGAGCTAAGTCCCAACTACACTGTAAAATGGGACCAGGATTTATCCATAATTTTCAGGAGATGACCTATCTCAAGCCAACCTTCTGCGAACACTGTGCAGGATTTGTAAGTCTGTCTCCCATTGGTTCCTCTTGTCTGTAGTTATTTGTGCCACATTCTGAGAAGGCTCACTAAACAGAACCCGTTGACTGCCTTGGATCAGAAGTTAAACATGGTGGCTCCCTAAAAATAAAAATTAAATAAAAAAACAAAAGCAAGATCTGCAGGTTTAGTTATGTTCTTTCTAGGAATGCAGGGCTAGCCAAGATAGGGAAGACTGGTGAGCCTGTTAACTCGAGTGAGCAATTTCTCCTACTTAATCCCTGCCAGGGAAACGTTCCACCCAATGAGCCCTGGCATTCATCACTAATAATCATAAGTGGTGCAATTAAGGAGGGTATTCATCTTAGCCAGTTCCTCACAGTTCTTATTTCATATGGTGTCAGTCACTAGAAATCCATCATGGCCTGGCTCGGTAATTTATAACTCAAAAAGGAAAAAGACCTTTTTGGAGAGAGGATGGATATAACATTTACCCAGCACTTGAAATACTTCCGTAGACATTAGTGTAATTAATCCTCATTACTAGCTGTGACATGGGCATTTGACTCTCCCTATTTGCCTGTGAAGGTAGGAGGTCCAGAGAGGATAACCCAAGTTTCCCAGGATTGCATAGCCAATAGTGACCAGAGCCAGGACTCAAATGCAGATGTTCTGATCTAAATCCTGTGCTCTACCCACTCCACTGCAACAAATGAAGATTACACACTTCATTTCCCCACATTTGATAAGTCTTTGGCAACTAAGGTCAGCTTTGATCCTGGTATTAAACAGACTTTTGTGCCCTGGACATCTTCTAGTTGATACCCAAGTTATAATCAGATGGAAAATGTGGTACTCTACATAAGAGTGGCCCAGCAGCCAAGTGAATATGATTATTGCTCCGGGCTCGGTTATGTTAGCTTCATTCAGCCGTCAAGTCCCACTGTTGACCCATATTGAATCCACAGCTGATAGTATATGCTACTACTAAATTACATTTTCCCCATCCCATTCTTGAAGAACTAGCTGTGAGAGGCCCCAAAGGCAGGATTCTGTGTTTAAGCACATACCACTCTGACAATGGATAAATAAGAGGCAGTGGTTACCTCAAAGATGGCCCCAACTGGTCACAGCAGTTGATGTTGTCAAGGGCAAGGCCAACCTAACAAGCTCTCTGAACCCCCACCCCCACCCCCCAGGGAAAGAGAGCTTCTATGAACTTCATCACTGGAATTGCATTCCCAGACCACTTTATCATAAAAGAAATCTGTCTCCTTTTTTGTGTTTCTCTCTTCTGGTGGGAATTTTTGCACATATGTGTACCTGAAAAGTACTGAAGTGGGATGAGGCCATGTGTAGCTCTCAGTTGCAGAGTGGGGCTGAGCGAACCTGTTGGGCCATGGCACAGATCAGCCGAAAGTCAGTTTGAGATGTCTGTCCTTCGGTGTGTTGTGAGAGTTGGAAGGCCCGTATCAAATCTCAGGAGCTTACCTCTGCTCTCCAGTCCTTCCGGATGTCTCTCCATGAAAAGGACTGTCACCGGGTCTGTAGAAACAACAAGGCAGTGTTTCCGGGGTGCATCCACACTCCTCTCCCCAGCTCATCAGAGCAGATTTGCTGGCGCTCGGTTCTTGATGCGGCTGTGTTGAGGTAGAAAGCTCTGGACTTGGCATCAGGAATCCTGGCTTTGAATCTCACCTCTGTCCCTTATATTAACTCTTTGTTCTTGACCAAGTTATGGACCATCTCTTTGTTTTCCTATCTGTAAAGGGGGTTAATACTTACCTGTCACGATGCGTGTCACATAGCTCAGAGTAAATATATATTTTATATATTTTAGTGTTCCTTGATACTTTTGGAGTTTAATGGAAATTAAATCATTAAAATTGTAATGTCCCTATTTTATTTTTCAAAAGATATTTAATCGTTGCTACAATTTGATTTGATCTTTACTCACAAACATTTTTAAAAGCCCGTTGGTTTCAAAGGGATTTATAACCATAACCCTCACCCTGGCTGGTGTGACTTAGTTGGTTGAGCGTTGGCCTATGTTCCAAAAGGTCTCTAGTTTGATTCCTAGTCAGGGTACATGCCAGAGTTTTGGGCTGGAATTCCCAGTAGGGAGTGTATAGGAGGCAGCCAGTTGATGTTTCTCTTTCATATCGATGCTTCTCCCTCTCCCTTCCTCTCTCTCTAAAATCAATATAATCATATTTAAAATAAATAAAACTCTCTAGATATATCATTGAAAGGCTTTGTAGGGGAATGTAAGGAACCAATTATCAGTGACTGGACCACCTGCTTTCAAAATAAATTCTATTTTAAGGGTAAGAAAGATAAACAGACAGTATTTAAAATACACTTATTTTAAAATTAGAATTCCAGCACTGAACGAGTTTTGCTAATTCCCTTATTTCAGGGTCTGGAGAAGTTAAGTGACTTCCCTAAGGTCACATGGAACCTTAGCAGCAGGTCTGTGACTCATCTCCAGGTCTCCTGACTCCCGGTCCAGTGCTCCTTACATCACAATCAATCCCCCAAATGTTACCGCAGCCTGAGGTCTCCAATCAAAGGACTGTGGGAAGTACTCCTACTCATTCATCTACATGAGGTCACCCTCTCCTTGTCCTTGGCTGGCTCACTACCCAGAGCCTCTTCCTGCCCAGTGTTGTCTCCTAGTTGCTAAGCAAGGAGGCAACAAGCAATACCCTGACTTCCCCTCCTGAGAGGACTCGGGCTTGCGTGTATCTCCTTCAGCAGTTCCTGCAGCTATGCTAACAACGTGTCCTACCCGGATAGTAGGATGCTTCCTAGCGCTTATCCTTTCTTGTCCTAAATCAGTGGCTTTTGGTCCCCACACAGGGCACCCAGGAGCAGTGGCTTCCTGTCTTTCTTCCAAGCGACACATTGTTCTTTCCCTGCTTACCAGCTATGAGGCCTTGCCAGCTGAATTCACTGCTCTGTAGCTCAGTCTCATCTACAAAAATGAGGAAATTATTATTTCCTATCCCACAGGGAGATTGTGAGCATCAAATGAGTTAATACACATAAAGAGCTTAAAACTGTGCTTCTCCCATAGCAAGACTCCAATATACCTTAGCTATCCTTATTATTATTGTTAGTGCTATTACCAAGGACTCAATGAGGGAAAAATTTCTTATCACTACAAAGTTTCCCAGACATGGGACCTTGCAACTTATTTAATTTCCTGGATCATCACACTTACCTATTATAAAAAAGGAACAAAAGAGATTATCTTGATGGTCCTTATGGCTCTGACATGATGTCTCTGCCCTGACCACCCACTTGCTATTGCTGTATTGTCTCCTCCCGCCCTTGCCCAGTCACCCTAGGCACCTGAGGCCTTGCTTCCAGGCAGTTGTTATATATATATTAATTGATTTCAGAGAGGAAGGGAGAGGGAAAGAGAGGTAGAAACATCAATGATGAGAGAGAATCACTGATTGGCTGCCTCCTTTTCCCCCCCTTCCCCCGACTGGAGATTGAGCCCACAACTCTGGCGTGTGCCCTGACTGGGAATCAAACATTGAACTGTGACCTCCTGGTTCATAGGTCATGCTCAACTACTGAGCCACACCGGCTGGGCCCAATCAGTTGTCTTAATAATCCTTCTTGTCCCCAAGGTAACAAGTTGCCCTGTCCCAGGGAGTCATTTGCAACTTAATAATGTAATCTGAAGAACCAAATAACTTTTAAGGCTCAAAGGAATCACTCTCCACTGGAGGGATTTTCTTGTCAGAAGGAGGGTAGGGAGCAGCCTTTATAATGCCCTTGCAGCACTTCACATTGGCGGCTACTTATTCTCGTCAGAGGGCCATAATGCCTACACTCAGGGCATTGTTCCCCTGTAGTGCATTGTGAATGACATCTCCATCAGCCCCAGTAGGCCACCAGCCCGGCTTCTTTCAAAATTATTTTATTAAGTAGATATCAGTCACCTAACCTAACCATTAAAGGGTTCGGAGGGAGCTTCTTCAGCTTAAGCTCAGCCCATTTCATTCATCCACACTGTATGTTCCTGGTGTCCCCAGTACCCACATGCAAGTGCTGTGACCGGCACAGAAAGAACATGGGAAAGCCCCTTCTTCACAGTTTCCAGTATGACACCACCAGGAAGATGCCCCGGAACTGCCTGGGCAAATGCTCCGTCGCTTCCTGCATCTCACTTCCTACTTGGTTGGCAGAATCTGAGCCTTTTCTGCATCCTTCATCCCTCTCCCCCACCCTCAGCTCTGGCTCAGGCCAAACACTGAGCAAATGCGGAGAATGAATACACGAATAAATAGTACATCCTTTCCTCTTCTGCTGAAGTACTAATGTTACTCAGAAAATAACCTGGCAAAATATAAATGCTTTAGTGGGATGTGCACTGCTTAGGTCGCTTAATTCCCTGCAATGGGCACCTAGAGCAGCATGAATAAAATGAAAGCCAAAGACAGAAAAAGTCTCCCCCGTGAATTTTGCTGAGAGCGCAGGTGCTAAAGTCCAATAAATGCACCAACGTCAGTTTCCCATCCCAGCTCCCATTTGGCTCCCAGACAGAAAAGGGAAGCAGAATTCCTGTTATCACCCCAGCTGGAGCGGGCTGGGGGAGGGTTCGTCTATCTGACAGGAAGGGTGTCAGGGGCAGCTACATCCTGTTTGTGCTCCACTAGTCATCACGCTTCCCAGGACTTCCTTCTTCGGGGCCTTGTTTTCTTTCCAGATTTTTCTTCAGATTGCCTGACATCCCTTTGTCTTTTGTTACAGCTCTGGGGCATTATCAAGCAAGGATACAAATGCAAAGGTAAATACATGTTACTGTGTTAACATTTTTTACAGGTGACATTTGGGACAAGAATCAAATTTGTCTGATGAAACCACAAAAGCTCTTGGCATGAAGGAGAACTTGGGACTTTGGGGCCACTGGCAACTGAGGAGTTAACGTGTCTAGGAAAGGACTCCCTGGAGTCTGGGAGAGCCCAGACTGGGTTTTCATAGCTTGTTAGAAGAGGAAGCACACACTTCTATCAGCCCGCATCCATCTAGCCCCCATATCTAAGATATCATGCTCATCATTATCAGCACACATCAAAGAAGGTGGGAATTCTGAAGTGGGACAGGCCTCGCTGAAATGCTGCATTGTAAGAACTTTATCGCTCAAGGGGAAATCACACACATAATCAATACATATGCATTGCTTTCCACTCTCACACAGCTATTCCTTTCCCTAGTTAGTCACAGATATTGATGAGAAGAGAAACCTTAAAATGTACGTTTGTCCCTTTCAATGAATCAATTCACATAGCTCTCCCATTTAGTTAAAATATATGAACTGAATAAATACATATGTGATGACTGTAAACACATGCAAATTACTAGGCATTTAGGACTGTGTTTGCTGCTTGTAACGTGATTAAAATACAGGATTGATATTTGATTTAAGAAATTGCTGAATATTTTATGCAGACTCTTTGTACTGGTTCTTTTAAGAACCTGATCACGCTCTTGAAAAATATAATAAAACTGTTGGCGGCGGTGGGAACGGCATCAGGTGCTAGACTGGTGGGGTCGGACCAGACCTGGGTTCAGCAACCTCGGTACTTGAGTTCTGGCTAGGAAAGAATTCAGAGCCAAGACTCCAACTGTAAGAGAACATTTATGTGGAAAATCACAGAAGTAGGAGAAGTAATTCATAGAAGAAATGGGCTTAGGAAACAAGTTATAGAGACAAAAGAAGGGCCCTGGGAGCTTAGAAGTGAGGAAGGTAAAGGTGACTTGTCTGGGGGGAGGGGGAGGGAGGAGAGGAGGAAGGGAAAGGCTCCGCAGGGCCCCCAGAAGGGAGAGTGGGCTGGGTCCTCCATCTTAAGGGTTTAAGGGTGGAGATTTTAGGGGAGGTCCCAGGGGAAGATCTCAGAATATTCAGCAGCTTTCCAGGTGTGTCCTTTTAGGGTCCGGTTCTCCTTTGATTGATTGGTTGGCACCAGGGCAAAGGGGTCATTTTTCAATGCAGCTGGTCCTGAGGTCAGCCTTGGGGTCACTGGTCTGGTTTTGCTGCTTGGAGCTGAAATACAACTGAGGCCAGGATGTTATCTCTAGGGAGGAAAGGCCAGGGGATCCAAATCGCATGACCACCAATGTGCTAGGGGAGGAAAGGTCACCCTGGGCACGAGGTCCCATCCTGTAATTGCCCTTTGCTAGGCACCCAGGGCTTTGTACCCTGGTGGCTTCTGTATCTGGCCCATTGTCCTGGCTCTGCTCATGTCTGTCTAACTGCCTCCCACAAAACAACAGAAAGAGACATCTTGATCACAGGATGCCTTCAGATTACTCTTGGTCCCTTGTGATGCTTTTTTCTCTAGTCATCTTTCGGTGTTTGGCCCTCGTTTTGCGTGAACAGAACACGTTCCTGAATCTCAGTGGGAGCCACATTTTAGTGCTCCAAATTCTTCCCTTTAGTTCTTTGTATCAGTGTCTTAGTCTAACTTGGATTTTTACTTTCAAGCAGCAAAGATACTCCAGTATCTTATGCCCATTAGTTTTATCCTGGTTCTGTCCCTTGTACCCTAAAAGACAGACAGACACACACACACACACACACACACACACACACACACACACACACAATTTTATGAAGATGAATATCAGTAAACTCTTGGATCATCTTTGTACATATGGGATTTTCTCTTAAAGGCACAGAGAGTGAAAAAACTAAAATAGACTGAACATGTCATTACAACTTGATCTTTCTGTGATGTCATTCATTACAAGACCATTTGAAATAAGACCATTTGGGGAAAATAGGTATTGGAAATCATTAGGTCCTCTGATGGTAAGAGAGAAATATACTCTTTAAAATTATCCTATCTGCTCAGTGAATCTAAGGGAAATGTAGGACTGGCATCAGACAAAAAATTTCTACACCAAGTAGCAATTAATATTCTGCTTTTTAAAAAAGTAAAGCATTCTAATGGGAAATTTCACAGACTCTACTACTGGCCCCCATTCTGCCTCTCTGTGGGGAATCTATGGCCTGGGAAAGAACCCCAGGCTCATGTGACTTGCATTTAGTTTGGGGCAAAGGCAACTCCTCACCCAACCTAGCCCCTGCTTGTTGGCTCCCAGCACCTCAATGAACTGTGTAGAAAAAGAAGCTGAACAAATATAAGAGAACTACAGGGATTCCAGACTGGCAAGAGTCCCACTGGCCCTTTTCCAGCCCCTAGACCAGGGGTGGGCAAACTTTTTGACTCGAGGGCCACAATGGGTTCTTAAACTGGACCGGAGGGCCGGAACAAAAGCATGGATGGAGTGTTTGTGTGAACTAATATAAATTCAAAGTAAACATCATTACATAAAAGGGTACGGTCTTTTTTTTTTTTTAGTTTTATTCATTTCAAACTGGCTGGATCCGGCCCGCGGGCCATAGTTTGCCCACGGCTGCCCTAGACATACCCTGTGAGCCTGAATTAGACATACCCTGTGAGCCTGAATCGGGCTCTGAGAGTCAACACAGAATCCAGGATGGGGGAGGGAAGGGTGAACAGCTCAAGTGCAACCCTAGACACCCAGTCAGCACCAGAGGCACTTGGTTCTCACTAACCGTCGGTGATGCTTTGGGATTTTTCAGACTGCGGAGCCAATTGTCACAAGCAGTGCAAAGACCTCCTGGTTCTGGCCTGCAGGAGATTTGCCCGGGCCCCCTCCTTGGGCAGTGGTCATGGGTCGCTGCCTGGAAGCCCCTCATTGCCCCCAGGTAATGTCCTCTACTTTCTTTACTACCCCCGTTTCTCTCTGCTCCCCTTCCCACACCTGGACCTCAGTTGGGTTCTGGATCGAAACCTGGTCAGAGTCATTATAAACACCAAGGCATTCTTCAGGGTGAGCAGCAGTGGCTACGGCCTGGAGTTCCCTCACTTCTCTCTGCTCTCAGGTCTAACATACAATTCACCTGAAGCCAATTTCATTCTGCCTCTGGCCTGTTGCTCTGGAACCTGACCTGTCAGACTCCTGTTGTTTGTACCAACTTTGATGGTTTGCTCCGAGCAGCAGTGGCTACGGCCTGGAGTTCCCTCACTTCTCTCTGCTCTCAGGTCTAACATACAATTCACCTGAAGCCAATTTCATTCTGCCTCTGGCCTGTTGCTCTGGAACCTGACCTGTCAGACTCCTGTTTGTACCAACTTCGATGGTTTGCTATGAAGCAATCAGATGCCAAATAATCACAATAATTTTCCCCTTGCAGTGCAGGATGAGGTGTTCGAGTTCCCTGACGTCGCTGCTGGACACCAAGACCTGGACAGCAGAGCCATCACTCTGGTTACAGGCTCTTCTCGCAAGATCTCCGTGAGGCTGCAGCGGGCCACCACCAGCCAGGCCACCCAGACTGAGCCTGTATGGTCAGAGGCTGGCTGGGGAGACTCAGGGTCCCACACCTTCCCCAAAATGAAATCCAAGTTCCATGACAAAGCAGCAAAGGACAAAGGGTTTGCCAAGTGGGAAAATGAGAAGCCCAGGGTACAGGCTGGCGTGGATGTTGTTGACCGGGGCACGGAGTTTGAGCCTGACCAGGATGAAGCAGACATGGGTGAAACCAGACAGGATGGTGAGGTCAGTGCTGGGTCAAACCACAAATAAATCAGAAGAGAAGCTGGCAGGGCTGAGATGAGTGTTCCAGTGAGTTCAGGAGGCAGTCTGGTAGTTTCGAAAGCGGAATGGTTGGGAATCAAGACATGTCACTTTTTGGTTTTCCCACTGGCTGGTTATGTGACCTTGGGCAACATTGTTTTTTCTCTTTGGACCTCAGTTTCGTCATGGATAAAACTGAACTGGATGAGTCCTAAGAGTTTTCCCACTGGCTGGTTATGTGACCTTGGGCAACATAGTTTTTTCTCTTTGAACTGGATGAGTCCTAAGGCTTAGTGAAGGTGGCCATGTCTGTGTACTGAGATGATGTCCCAGGGACCCATGACTGTTGCGTGTATTCATTATACCGGTGTGCTATACTAATCAGCTTAGTTTTCCAAGTTAGAATCAGGAGGTAGTGGAAGTGATAAAGGAGAGTTGGAAACTCTTACCCCTATTTTAAAAGGAGGCTTTGACCTGGCTGGTTTGGCTCAGTGGATAGAGCGTCGGCCTGCGGACTGAAGGGTCCCAGGTTTGATTCCCCAGGCTTGATCCCCAATGGGGGACGTGCAGGAGGCAGCTGATCAATGATTCTCTCTCATCATTGATCTCTCTCTCCCTCTGCCTTCCTCTCTGAAATCAATAAAAACATTTTTAAAAATAAATAAAATAAATAAAAGGAGGCATTGACAGCCTCATGAAGAAGGGAGTGGTGAGAATGAGACATGGGGACCTCATGGTTCTCTAAGCCAGACTCTGCCTCCACACAAAAATTACACTCAAATCATCCAAAGCAAATTGGGAAGCATATGGAACTTGTTAGAACAAGCTGAAACTATAAATTGATTCAACATGGACTTAGATAAATGTATTAGTCAACAATTCATAGTGTATTAAGAAAAGGGATTTGGGGAAATTGGTGTCATATTCCTAACCTTCAAAGCAGTGTCATGGAGGGCAGCCATCGTCTCCCTATTGAATCGTCCCATAAACCGAATATTGGGTTAGGCAGAAATCCTATTGGATCAAGCCAGTGCTCTTTATTCTTATGGGTGGCCCTCCACATTCCACAGCCATCAGGAGACCTAGACACATTGTCTCCATAGTTTCCCAGGATCAGAAAAACTCCAATGACCTTTAATTAAAATTCCTCTAGTTCCTTTGTCACTGAAGACAATAAGGAGGCCACACATAGCTTCAGTCATATGAAGTTTATTGTAAATTCCTGCTGAGCCATTTTGTTCCTTTCTTATAACACCAACTTTGTTTTAATATTTTTTATTGGTTTTGAGAGAGAGAGAGCAAGAGAGAGAAACATTGATGTGAGATTGATCAGCTGCCTCCTGCATACTCCCCACCAGGGATCAAGCTCGAAACCCAGGCATGTGCCCTGACCAGGAATCGAACCAGCAACCTTTCAGTACATGGAATGATGCCCAAACAACTGAGCAACACTGGCCAGGGCTCTTATAACATCAACTTTAAAAAACAGCTTCACTGACATATAATTTACATACTATGAAATCTACTTATTTAAAGTGTATAATTCAATGGTTTTAAGTATATTCACAATGTTGCACAACCATCACTACATTCTAATTTTAGAACATTTACATCATTCAAAACAAACAAACAAAAAACACCCTGTGCCCATTAGAGGTCATTTCTCATCTCCCCACCTAACCCTGCCCTAGGTAACCAACTAATTTACTCTCTGTCTTTGTATATTTGCAATACCAACTTTATTTATTTTTATTTTTAATACATTTTTATTGATTTGAGAGAGAGAGGAAGGAAAAGGGAGAGAGAGAGAGAGAGAGAGAGAGAGAGAAACATTGATTGGCTGCCTCCTACACGCCCCCTGCTGGGGAGAGAGCCCAAAACCTGGGCATTTGCTGTGACCTGGTATGGAACCAGCAACCTCTCAGTGTACGGGACGATGCTAAAGCAACTGAGCCACACCAGCCAGAGCCCAACTTTATTGTTAATGTTCCCCTACGAATCACCTTGGCAAATATTTCAGTCCTATCCAGTATTTCTTTTAATGGTCTAACATAGTTAGCTTGGAATATAAAGGTGAATAGGAAAAAAAATCATGATTTGATGATAGAGGAAGATATCGTAGGGCAAGATCTTGGGGTCTAAAAAAAGGCTTTGGGGAATTCAGGAAAGTGCATTATATCTTATGTAAAATTATATATATGCACCTATGCTCACTTCGGGGCAGTGTTTCTTAAGAAGGTCTGCAATCCAACAAGTAGCGAGGAATCAGTGTTAGATTTTTCAGATGGTGCCTGAAATTGTACTAGTCACTCCAAATACCACTTCAGCCTGCAGAGGCCATTGCCATGAGCAATGTGGCTGTTATTGAAATCTCAGAAAAAGAGCTTTTATGGTAGAGTAATAGGATGCCCAACCAGAGCTCTCATAGACCATCTTTGAATTCAGACGAGTACCTGTGTGTGTTTAACTAGCCATGCGGTCACTTCTATTGGCTAGCAACGTTCCAGTTACTTAAACCTTGCTCTGGGTTAGGTGTGGAACAGCCACTTCCATGGGTAAGATTTCCTGATCTTCGATCTCTATAAGGAAATAGAGACAAAGATCTTTATTTCATTTTTTAAATACTGGACCTTCATGTTCATGTGTTCCCTTACCCTTTCAATTTTTTTATCTCATAAATCATAGAGATGGTTCACTGACCACTAGTACTTAATTTTATGTGTGCTAATTGAAGAAGACAGTATGTTCTTATGTAAAATGTATTGGTGTACAGTCTTACCCTCACCCAAACCAGCAACAAATAAGAAGACATTTACCCTTGTTTAGGGAAAAGGCAAGCAGGAAAAAATGTAACAAAATTACACCAAGAGTTAAATATGTAGGAGTTTTCAAATTTAAGAGTTTTTCTGTTGAGCAAGACCAATGAATGGCTTTAGAAGGAATGGTCTACACATTTATTATTTAGGTTCAGTTGATATTTATGAGTCCGATAAGTAAAAATGTTGAACAGACAAAGAAAGTAGTTGGGTTTATGATCTGTGTTTTTCCTTCCGTGGAGTTCCAGGATTTACATTCATTTTAAAATATAAGGGTGTGAACATGTTCTGTGGTGGTGGATACCATTCTACCAATAATCATTGAGCCCTTGGATGGCAAGAACAGGTCAAGATTACTCACTTGGCAGTAAGAATATGCATATTTTCTTTATAATGCTTCTTTGTTTTTTATTATCTTCTGCTAACTTAAAATGATTAAACATAGAAGGGCTAGGAAATGGTGGACTAAACAAAGTTAAATATGTTTATAAACCTATAAATATCAGTATAGATATAGATCTTTTTCCCATATAAATTTTCCCATATAATATACTGTATATTATGAATTTCCAAAAGGGAAACCTTGCCCTGGCCAATTTTTCTCAGTGGTTAGAGTGTCAGCCCTCGGACTGAAGGGTCACGGGTTTGATTCTGGTCAAGACCACATACCTTGGTTTCAGGCTCGATTCCCGGCCCCAGTCGGGACGTGTACATGCGACAACCAATTGATGTGTCTCTCTCATATCAATGTTTCTCTCTCGCCTTCCTCCTTCCCTTCCATGCTCTCTAAAAAAAAAAAATGGAAAAAAATATCCTTGGGTGAGGACTATAAATAAATAAT